ATATATATATATATATATATCATCAAAGAAAGGTACCTGAACCTGCAAACTCTCGCTGTAAGGGCAAGCGTCATATCCACTAGACCACAGAGGCTTCTTGGTTAACATTATTTAAAAAAAAATAATAAGTAAATTTAAAAAAATTAAAATAAAATGAATAACCTTTATGAATATAATAAATAAAATGCTGAAAAGGCTGTTGCCCTTTGCAAGTGGAAATTATTGCTAATTATTATTCTTATTATTAAACAGATTCAAATAACCGCCATTATACAATGGTGCGCCTCGAGAGAGCGTCAAATCTGGTGGTACGTCTGGAAAAAAGCAAAGCTTTATGGTTCTGTCAAATTATGCTTCTGTTAACTCCCATCCTCCAGCTGGGAGCATAGTGTTTCTTTGTCAACTGTCGACATTCGTTATAGCTTCTCTGGTGATGGCAGCTGGGATTAACCAGTGATAGGATTTTTTACTTTTAGGGTTAACTATAATTAGAAATTAAAGAAAAAAACACACATAATTAGTCAGATTCGAGAGTAGGCCTATCCTCCTCAAGTTGGTTTAATTGGAGAAACCCTATTTACCGTATCTCTCTATGTCACATCATTTTACGTTCTGAAAGTTTGTAGTGGGCTATTTTGTATGAACATTAACAACTTGGTAATTTCCTCTACTTAAGGGTCAAAGGTCAAATGAGGTATTTTCTGCCTCATTTGAGGGCAGATGTTGCATAGCACTGCATCAGGTAAAAAAAATTTAACCCTGGACAGTTTGAAAAAGGAGGCTAAGCTCTGCAACTAGCTGTTCAAAGATATTCTTGAATTCTATTAATTTTGCATATTTGAACTAAATGCGGGTATATGACCGAGGTGTTATTTCTGGAATTTCATTCCCTCATATGTTTATACGTGCTTATAAAGAAACTCTTTTTGTTTGTTATTTGTTCTACTTCAAATGCTAGAATACCAACCGAAACCAACAATATACAATTTTTAAAAAATCACTAAAAATCAGGTTTTTACCCAAGAAATATCATGAAAGTATAGGCCTTACCTAATGGTCATAGTCAATGGCATTCAATATGACATACAATTGGCTTTCGGATGAAGTGCAACATGTCTATATTTGGGCATATTTTTTTGTTTCGAGTGTTAGAACTTAAAATTAAGTATACTCAGCAAGTATATGAGTTCAGTCTTTCGTTTTTGTTTCAATATCACAATCATATAATTGGTCAAATTCTGAGGAAGAATGGTTGAAATATCTGTATATTTTCTAAAATAAATTAAACAAAAAATGTCAAATGTTGAAAAAAAAATGACAAAATTGTGTGTTTGTACCCCAAAAACGTACCTAAAACAAGAAGATACAAAAACAAGTTTGGTATTTTTTCACTGGATAGACAATTTTATAAACCTTTATATTATATGCAACATAATTGTATTCCCGATTATTATTTCATAGTAAAAGTGACCAGAAATGACCTTTATTGACCTCTGACTCCTTATTTCAGCAGAAATGTCTCGTCAGACAGGCAGTTCCGAGACCCCCATGGGATGACCTTTTCAAAAATACCAACTAAACATGTGGTCTTTTTTTGCAAATAAATGGCCCCCTGCTCCTGGACTAATAAATTTTAATGTCACATTTTACGATAATTGCTGAAAGAAAGCTTGCGCAGTTTCCATACTTCTATGCATACCGCAACATTTTAAGCGATTTTAAAACAACATCAGCATTTTAAAATGAGCAAAAGAAACAAACTAGGCACTCAAATCCTAAGTTAGTTCTTATTTTATAGTTTTAATTTGGATTTATAAAAATAAAATCTGTTTTCTACCTTATTATTAATATATTTTATGAACATAAACGGCTTTGAATCAAATTTTGCCATATATATGTATATATTCGATCCGGTCGATCCGCTGGTTGTTGTGTTATAGGTATGTAATATTACTAACTATAATATATATTTCGAATCACGCTATTACTCTCGCCTCCTCCTTCGGAGGCGAGGATGAAATGATAAAACGTGATGTCGGGTTATAAATGCAAAACTATGCCTGAAATAAAAGATACACACTAATGGATATAGAACTGCACAAGAAAATGGAATTACAAAAGCGAGAAAAGATATATTATTGTGTTGATTTCAGGAAATTCTACTGATTTTCCTGAAAAGTAAAAACGTTAATTTTGAGGGTGTGTGTCATTTTAAAAAGAGTATTATTTGAAATTCTGCTGAATTGTTTTAGCCAATGCTGGGTATTACAAAGACGTCTGATCCTTTTACTACAAAGATGCATACCATCGCTAGCTCTTTATAGATCAACGAAAGCTAGTCAACAAGATGATTGATAAAGCATAGAGAAAGTGGTAAAGTCTCAACTTAGGGATGCTGATTTTAAAAGGGTAAACAGGATGATTAGTTCCCTTCTTAATAATATTTTATTTATTTTTTCTTTCAATTACCTTCTCATTCCATTTGGTTACTTTCCAATTTATTATTGATTTCTTATACATTCAACTATTTCACAGTTTAAATTTTTTCTTATGTGTTTGGCTTGTCATGTCCATCCTTTCCTAACAGCCCTTGCCTGTATTTCCCAATCCCCATTTCCTTTCATTTTCTTATGTTCACATAACTTTCCTTTATTTTTCATTCTGATGTTACCTTATCTTTTCCTTTCCTTTTCCTTTCTTATTTTTCCTTATCATTTCTTTCCTTTTCCATTTTTGTGTTTCCTTATCTTTTCTTCGCTTTTCCTTTATTTTGTTTCCTTATCATTTCTTTCCTTTTCCTTCTTATGTTTCCTTATCTTTCTTTTCTTTTTCCTTTCTTATATTTCCATATCAATTCTTTTATGTTTCCTTATCATTTCTTTCCTTTTCCTTCTTATGTTTCCTTATTCTTTTCTTTTTCCTTTCTTATATTTCCGTATTTCTTTCTTATGTTTCCTTATCATTTCTTTCGTTTTACTCTCTTATGTTTCCTTATCCTTTCTTTCCTTTTCTTTCTTATGTTTCCTTATCTTTTCTTTCCTTTTTCTTTCTTCTTCCTTTCTTATATTTCCTTATCTTTTCTTTCCTTATCCTTTCTTATATTTCCTTGTCTTTTCCTTTCGTGTGTTTATACACGTTTAATTCCTTTCCTTCATTATGTTTCAAATTCATTACCTTTTCCCTTATTTCCAATGTTTCCTTCATGTGGTACATGCACAGTCTTTCAAACTAGAACAAGCCAAACACATATTATAAATTTGGGACGATTATTAGTTGGAATGAAAATGCAATTTGAAGAGATGACTTTTTAGAAGGTGTTTAAAGTTATTGAGAGTATTGGCCTGTTTGATTTCAATTGGCAAGCTATTCCAAAGAGTTACTGCCGCCCAAGCAAATGAACGTTGCCCGTAAAATGTGACAGAAGAGATTCAGAGGATGATCTAAGGGATCTCTTAGGTGCGTATGGATGGATGAGATCGATTATAAAGTTTGGTGCCATGCTGTGAAGGGCTTTGTATGTCATAAGTAGGATTTTGTATAAAATTCTTTGTGTAATCGGAAGCCAGTGAAGGTTTTCAAGGACAGGAGTAATATGGTGTCGAATTGGAACACGTGAAACCAACCGAGCTGCCACGTTTTGAACACTTTGGATTTTCTTTATATATTTCGATGGAAGACCATAAAGAAGTTAATTGCAGTTATCTAACCTAGAAGAGACAAACGCATGTACAAGAATTTCAGTAGACTTGGTATTAAGGTATTTGCGGATGCTTCCAATCTTCCTAATGGATTGAAGACCAGCTTTGCATACGTTGTCTACGTGG